CTTGGTGTCAATGTGAACCATTTGTGCCCTTTTCATCTATTGTCTGACTGATTTGTTAGCCTGGTTTTGGTTTTTTTTCTGTTTTGGTTTGGGTTTTTTGTTTGTTTGTTTAACTGGTTGAATACCAAAGAATCTGCATATGGAAGACTGCTCGTTGGGGGGATAGTACCTTCTAATTTTACAAATTCTGACAGGTAATTCTTTTTTATGAAGGCTTTTTATTTTTATGGTTAGTGTTAAAATGGTGACTTAACATAGGAAAATCTGGAAATTATTCTTGCTTTTTGGAATTGGGATGTTTTTTCCTACTCATTCACATTCATGCAATAAGGCTCTCCCTATAGAATTCCCAGTGAAGAAACTATGCTTTATTTTTTTTTATCTACAGATACACACTAACTACTCTGTTAATAGGTATTTATAGAGGAGGGGGGAAGAAATTTTTCCTGGAGTGACTTTTTTTATAATGAATATTGTTAATAAAAATTTTCAATTAAAGATTAGGAGAAAAGAAAAAAAAGAAAACTTAGTAGTTACAATATGCTCGGCATATTCCTTAGAAAGCAAAATACGAAGCAGTACTGATAAGAGATACTCCAAATTCAGTGGTGGTTAGATCTGATACTAACAATTCAGCACATACTTTAGTTCTTAACAGATCCAGTCTGAGCCAAGGCATTCTTTGCTGTGCGTGTCTCTAGGTTTATGTGGTCTGGTACAAATTTAATTTATTTTTTTCATATGATATCTCCTTTTAAAATAACACAGATTTTTCTCAGAAAGCTATAAAGCACTAAAGTAAGGTATGAATAATGAACTATTTTCCAGTTAGCTGCACCTTGTCACACTTGACTATATATATATATATATATATATATATATATATATATATATATATATATATATATATACACATTTATATACTATGTACTTGAAGAAACTATGACATCAACAGAGCCAAAACCTGGAGCACACTTTAAATTCTAAACATTTTAGATTTTAGTTGTTCTCTTCTTTTTTCTTCTTGTTCTCTCTGTGGAACTTTTGGAAGTGACTGTGCAGGAGTAGCACAGACATCTGCTGCAGTACTTTGCTCTGTGTCTCAGGAAGAGCATTACCTGACACTGGCACATTAAGTCAGAGAGAGTCACTTAAATTCTGTGCTTCAGCTGTATACGTAGAATTTAGGGAGGAAATATATTCAGCTTCATTAAAAATAAAGAATAACATAAATTACTTCTCTTATAATAATTATAGGCTTTTAAAGAGTGGAACGAGTATCACCTTTTTTTTTTTTTTCTTTGTGGATACTAAATAGTAAACATCAGTGGTAGAATTTTTTAAATTTATAAATCCACTAAGATAACCCGCATAGTTCTTAATGCTTTTCTCCATAGTGCCTTGATGAAGGTTGCCATTTTTGGCAGCCTTAATGCATTTTATTTGTAAGTGTTAGTAATTAATTAAGCTGTAATCAGAGCAATGTGCTGTTTCATGAAATAATAACTCTTCAACTGTACGTACTCTGGGGCAAGAGGTACAGGAGTAGAATTAGTAAAGGAGTGTAGCTTTGCATTCATTTCTTTGCATGTCTTTTGCTCCTTAAAACACTTGAAAGCAGAAGTAACTGCTGTTTGAGAAAGGAATGCAGTAGAATAAGACAAGGAACAGAGGTGAGAAAAGTTTAGATTTAATGTTTTATGCATTTAAAGTAAAAAACAGTAACACCAACAATATTATAAAAGGGCCGTGATAGTTCACACAGAAAAATAAAAAGAGAGCCCTTCATTTCAAGGCTGTTTTTCAAATTTTATCTAGGTCTTTGTGCATCAGGGAGCAAGTATTAGCTCTGACACAATGCTAGGAAAGACAATGAAGTCAGCCCATAATGAATTTAGTCCTAATTGTTGCTACCAACTACTGATTATCTCACAACTCTATGCAGACGGATTTAGCCAGTCAAAACTCCCAAAGTGTATATATATATATTCACAGAAAAAAGTTATGTTTTACACCAAATGGCATCCTTGTGAGAAAATAGCTAGAAATTGAATATTTGTTATTCTTCTCAGTAATAGTAATTATTACCAGTAGAGTTTGTGGTCTGTGGTTCCTGTTAATACTAATATTGGGACAGCTTATTTTCTCACTTCCACTTTTCTGCAGTTCATTCTGCAGCCTGAATTTGGCTCTGTTGATCAGAAAAATTGTGTTCATACTTCTGATCCCTCCTCTACACCACTCTTTCCTCCACTAAACCCCATCTTCCTCTACTGGCTCTTTCTTTTTTCCTTCACCATCCTTCTCCCTGACATCTTTCCAATGATGTTTTCCTCTTGAAACTGCAGTTGTGTTTTAAGCTTCTACCCTCATAGAGACAAAACAAGCTCACCAGACAACTACAGGCTTGCCTTGGTTTTGTTCTATTTTCTGATTGTTACCCTTTTCAAAACTCTTGATTTTTTTTTTTTTTGACCACTACAGCTTATTCTAAGAGTATGGTGGTTGGATTTTTTTATTTATTTTTTAAACTAAATTTAGGGCAATATGTGAAATTCATTAAACATTTGAATACCACTCAAGTCACTGTTTTTCCAGAAAAAAAAAAAAAGTTTAAAAATATTCCTATATTTAGATTAGAAAAATTTATAAGATATTGAGCTTAAATTACTTTTTTACTGAAAAAACTTTTATTGATGGTAAAAGGATATATTAGAGGAATACTTAAGCTCTAAAGGTCATTATAAATGCTTCATAATTCTGGTTTAGAATCTTGTTAAGTGATATTGAGCAACCAACTAATTTAAATGTGCAGAGAAGACAGCAGGGAGCTGGTATGTAAGAAAAAACAAACCAGACACAAAAACACAAGACATCTCAGTAGAAACTTCTGTGCAGTGCAAGGATTTCCAGTACTTTCATTTTAGTTAATTAACTTCACTAATTTTTACATGGCAAATATTCTTGTCTTTGCTTACTTCAATCTTCTGTCAGCTATTCGTTTGATTGTAATCACCAACAGAAAGCGTGCTTGGGAGTGGCAATGGCCTCATTTTAAAGAAATATGAAACAGGTTGGAAAAACACTAATAAAACTTGGGAGGAAAATAGTCTATGATGTCAACAGAACCTTCAAATCCATGAACCACATTTATTAAAAAAATAAATATACACTTATGTCACACTCTTGTCATTAACATTTAATGTGCAAAGAGTGGGTTACCGTTCTATATTTAATTAAAACACAAAATTATGACTTCCATCTGCTCATGCAGACCTGAGAAGGAGCTTAAGGTGTACAAAAAATTTACATCTGGTATTCAAATATTAGTGCGGGGGGGATATTTTAACCACATCAAGTATCACATCATTCCTCTAGTGTAGAATAAATATGACACTTTATGTATTAATGTTTGAAGACATTTTCAATATTTGAAATATATTTCTCAGGCACTTGTATAGAGTTTAAATCATGGGGGGGAATCACAGCTTCCCAGGGTCAGGAGATCTCTTCAGTTATTTACATTTCTTATTTTTATTTTATTTTTTGGTTCCTTTGGAAACACACATAGAATGTTCTTTTTCTTAGTGCTGCTTTTTTGGTAATTCTTTTGTTCTACATTTGGTGCCAAGGAGCACAGACCATGTTAAATCCAAACAGCAGCCTGCAATCTCCTTAACCATATGCTATTTTTACAGCAGGTGACCTGTGGAAATGCTTTTTGTCAACCAAATCCTCCTCGTCTTGGCTTGTCACTCTGCTTGTTCACACTAGGGCTAATCCTGGTGCTGTCACTCTGCAGCCACTGAAGCCACCATCTGCTCTTTGCCCTACTCCGGCCTTTGATCAAACAGCAAACAAATCCTTTAGGATAGGGAGGAATTTCCTGGGTGTTGACCATACGGCAACATATTTGGCCATTGTGTGGAGCCCTGTGTAGCACTGTAGTCGCTGGTAAGTAATGTGCCTTCCCATCATCTTCACTTGGAGTTGCGGAGATTTCTCAATGCAGAAGTCAATCAATCTCACCTACCTCACAAGTGGCAAAGGTATTTGCACACGGTTTTGAAATAAGGGTATCATGTGCCTCACAGTGGCAAAGGCTAACATCATGCAGAGAAAAGAGCACAATGACTTTCCTGCAGTCCCACCTGAAACTTATTTGCTGACAAGGAGTTCCAGTGACCCACAAAGATGTTGATTAAGAATTGTTTTCTTGGTTACACGTGAACAGACCTGAAACTCAAATGATAAGACCAAGTAGCTGCAAAAGAAAATCCAAAACGGTAAACGAGATCCTAATTTTTTGGCAAAGAAATTGCAGTGGCTGGAGCCACTACAGTACAAACCAGTAAACCTTGGCACATCTTGTTTTTGCTGGGAGGGCAACTGCTGAGCAAAGATGAGATACAATATATCACTTTTCCCTCTGTGTTCATGGCGTTGGAGCACTGAACAATAGAATTCTTGCTAAATCCTGCAAAACTGCATCTGACATTGCTTGAGGTAGGACAGAGGCCAACACAGTTGCTGAGTAAGCATGATTGGTGGACCTTAAAATATCTGTAGACTACAACAGAATTGCTGAGCTAACAAAGTGCTGAGACAGCATAATGAATAGAACATAGCAAAAATAACGCAATGACTTCGTGGCTAAGACAGTTGTAAACAAAAGAAAAGGGAAGAGCTGTCTCTCCACCAGTTTCAAAGAACGGCCTCCCCAGTCTCTTTGTGTTTGAACTGGAATGGATTCAGCAAAACAGCAGAAGGACAGTCTGGACAGCTGAGAATGTATGTGGCCAATGGGTCATGGCATTATAAGGAGATAAAAGACAACTCAGAAATTCATCAAAGTGGGGTCAACAGAAGAGAATCAGCATTGCAGGTGCCAGGGACTGAGAAGGGTGAGCATTTTCTCCAATAAGCTTGACATACTGGGTAGGATATGCCTGAATCTCCCCCATGGTTTTAGTGTGACTTCTAGTTGCCAATGGCAGTAGAGTGACTCATAACCAGAAAGCTATTCTGCAAATGAGTGTTTTACCAAGTTTATCATAAATATCCACTACATTTTTTATATAATTTTGTTACTTACTTTATAGGATTGCTACAAAGATAGATAGATAGATACAGACGTACGTACATACATACATATTAATTGCCATGTTCAATTTATTATTATCTCATTGTTCTGTTGCTGTAATTGTCTGTAGTAATTGGCTGGATTTGCTTGTTCTATTGGAGACTTGTAGTTATATTTGCTGTTGTTGTGCTTTCACTTAGTGGTATTTGTATAAGCTACCAGTCAACATAAGGTATTAAAATCATCACCTCCTGAACATTGCAGATCCCTGTGGTTGTGCTTCTCCCCACTAACTAATTTGTATTAGTTATCTAATATTTACAGTTAGGTCTCCAGAAAATTAAAAGAGAGTCGGATACTGATTTGTAATTATTCATATTGCTAACCTGTTAGCCTGGTTTCTGGTATATTTAGTCCAAGAGAACTAACAAAACTACTAAATTACCATGATAACTAGCATGTCTGGGAATGCTTTAAAGGATGACGTGTTTTGAAACCATTCCCAATAGGCTGTTTGGATGTCATCAACATATTTTGGTTGGAGGGGAGTTTATTTGTGTGGACACAGATTCCACTATGTCTGTTGGCTACAGGAATAAAACAAAAAACCTATTTCATCTAGTATAAAACTTACACACAATGTTATGTGTCTTTCTTGCTCATGTCCGTTAAACTTTTGAAACATAGTTCTGCAGCATATAGTGGGACTTCCTTTTTTCCTCTCTAGTATTACCAAAATAGTTTTGCAAAATGAAACTTTGTGAAAAGTTCCATTGAAAAACCAGGGCTGATAGTGTTTGATTTTGTATAAATATATGCTAAGAGTCTACAAAAATTAACAGAACATGATAACTTCTTGTAAGAGTATGGACCATCTTATAAAATAAATTAATTATAAATCCCATTCAGCATATACCAAGAACCGTAAACAGAGTATTTAATCTTTTTTCTTTATAATTAAATTATATTATAATTTAATATGAGATTTAATATTGTCCTTTGGGGAGAACACATGCTCAATTTTTTCACACCCTTTCTCTTTGGATTTTTTCATTTATTTCTCATTCTGTATTTTAATAAAAAGCAGAAAAAGTATGAAAAATATAATACATTGAGTTTTCCCTTCAAGCATAAGCACAACGTTTATTCTTGAATTAATGAAAAAAAACCAATGTCAGCATATTTAACTGAGTTTATATGAATTTGAGTCATTAAGCTTAAGTCTAGACTCAGAATGACTTTTTTTTCCCTGTCATCTGGTTTTAATTGGATCATAATTTTATGTCTTCACAGAATGACTCTCACATGTTACTAGCATTTTAGCAAAAATATCTGTAGAGAGAAAAATACATTATTTTTCCCTCTCACTTCATGTGTAATTTTCACAAATTCTTAAAGATCTATTTAGTGTTTTAAGGACTGTTCCTCTCCTGTTTCTCAGATTAATTTTGAAAATGAGGGGAGGAAGTTCCCCCGTCTCTTTTACAAAGTTAATTTTTTCCTTGTGGGATAAATCAACAAAATGGGATATGTAAAAAGAAAATCTTTAAGGGAAAGCCCCCTGGGCTCCCATGGATGCTCACTTCTATCAAAAAAAGTTTGAAAATGCATTGGGGGTCAAATATGTTAGTCATGGAAAATCAGTGCCTAAATCCAAGTATACCAGACTGAAAGCTCAGAAAGCTGCAACATTTCCTCCCTCTCAAGAGGCATCGTTTCAGTTTCCAGCCATGTTAACAGCAGCTGTTCCTGCTGTGCCTGAGCTGTCCTTGCTCCCCTTAAGGAGTGCAGTATTAATGTCCCGGCTTAGTCTGTGCTCAGATATCTATATTCGTATTGGCAGCTACTCCTCGTTTCTTCGTCTCCATCACAACACTCAATATATAGCCAAGACACTCTGATTTTAAGGGGCCTATTATAATGGAATATGCAAAACAGGGAAAAGTATGGTACTGAGTACTGCAACTGAAAGTATTAATAATCCCTGGCAGAAAAACAGACATATATCATGATATATCTAAATAACAGTAAAGAAAAATTATACATCTAGCTAAATTAGGAGTTTAGGATGGATTTTTGTAGCTTCTTTTCCCCCCTAAAATGAAGTGAGATCAGAAGACATTTTCAATGTGGTATCTGCAAGCATTAGCAATTGTTACTTCATTGCCACATAGTGAAAATTAGGATTCCAAATAATAACAACAACAAAAAGATCTCCTGAGTGTGAGTCTGAGCTGATGTTTCAAGAATAGAAATTAACAAAACCAGACAATATGGAAATTATACTGTCAAGATTTTGCTCCTTGTTTAGCCAAAATTAAGGTGGACTTTTCACTGTACTCAAATAAAAAACAGTCTGTGCTCTGAGAGAATAAATCTTGTAATCTGTAATTTTTCCTCAAAAATGAATTGCTTAAATAAACAGGAAAATAATGTCAAAATGTGACTGGAGAGTTTACTCTGTATCTGTTCTTTCATTCTTTTCCATTTATTTGACAATCTCTACTAAAGATACCTGTGCTTTTCATTATCTTTCTAAAGACTCAGTGAAAACCTGTGTCACTGACAACTGCTGCTGGACCTGACGTTTTATTTTCTCAGCTCTCTTCAAACTGGTGCATAAATCTTGAGACAAGAGCTTGTTCATGAGGCAAGCTTTTGCTAGTAACCTTATGCAAAATAGCCAGTGGTGTCATTTATTTGGCACAGGATTTATTCTTTTACCACTGCATGGTTAAAATTTACAGTGATGTTTACTGGGGTTCTATGTGTATCTTAACAGGAGGCTGGACGCCTCACCGGATTCCTTTCTGCTGTATTCAAAATCACCATAGGTGTTATTTATACCACTTCTGTTCTTAGTGCCTTTGCCAAAAAAGAAAAGTCAGTCCAACCCAGTTGTCATCTAAAAATAAACACCAATGAGATCTTCTTCCTGTGGGCTGTAAGGTCATTCTGTAACTCAGCATGATTCATTGATCTCTTCTACCCCCTGTGCCTTTCCAGATTTATTGGAAATCTGTTCAAAGGAGAATATATCTTACTGCTCACTACTCTAGGAACTGCTGCTAAACGCTGAGTAAAAGATTCTCTTCTGTTCTCTTTATTCCTTATCCTTAGAGACAGAACTGAGGAAAATCTTCTTCTCAGACATCAGCTGAAAACAGATGAGCCAAACAGGTTGAGTGCCTTCTGCTGCTCTTCCTTTGGACAAGTTCATTAAGTTCAGGAAATGCCTTGGGACCAATTCACGTCAGCGTGGGTCTGTATTGCTTGTCATTAGCGTGAAGGGCCTCAAAGTAATTTAAGTCAATGATCTGATTACTAATAAAGAACAACAGTGGGCATAGGTCAGAAATGTCTGCTTTGTATTTATCTTCCTTTTAATATTTCACAGTATTTAACAGTACTGTGAAGAGAGAAATCACATTGCAATTTGCAAGAGAGGTATCTGTCTACCTATTTACTTCCTGTCAAACTAATCGTATTGTGGCACAGGGTAGTTCAAGCACTCACGTAAACATATGTAACTTATTAGAAAAGGTGGAGTTTCATCCAAATTCACTCAGTTTATGTCCCCTCTTCACAGTAAATCCTGAAATAAAAGGAAAACATGAACACATGTGCTGGGAATTTTACTGGAAGCTCAGAGGCTGGAATATAATCACCGAGGTTTGATTAATTTTTTGTTCTTTTCCTTTTTTCTTTCTTTAAAACAAAGGTTTCTAGCAAGACTATGTGCACTCAAGCCAGCAGTATCTGTTGGATTAGTACAGCAGTTTATGAGCAGTAGGATCCTGGAGTCTGCGAAGCTCTCCCAAAACAAAGGGCTCATCTTTGGGGTGGCCCTGGAAAGTAGTGTGCAAAAAGGGAGAGAGGCTCAGTACATCAAGGAAAAGAAAGACGAAGCACTTGAACTCCTTTGATTCCTGCTACAGAGGCACATCTGACAAAACAAATTTGTGTCAGGCTTTTTGCAAAATATTGTCTTCTGTTTTCCCCTACTGCTGGGCCAGGCAGCTGCATGCCCCTTCCCCATCCTCGTTCCTCTCTTTTGTCTCTTCTCTCTCTTCTCTGTTCTTCTTGATCTTGAACATTCACCTGCTTTTGGCCTGATGTTTTTGCTTCCAAGCATATAATGGTGGACTAGAAAAGCCATGCTCCAAATCCTAATAGTTTTATACTCTTTTACTCACAGAATAAATTTAAGAGGATAGTCTCTTTAAACCATCATCCCATATATACAATATTAACAGTAGGTTTTTTTTCTGTACCTCATCTTTCTTCTTTATCCCAAAGGTGAAGTGGTATTGAAGAGGCAACAGAGATTAGAAAAGGAATATTTCTCTTTGACTAGACATTCAAACACCTCTATGTCCATCAAACCCTCTCGCATCTCCAGCTGCCTGGCTTCTCTGACCTCCACCCAATAGATTCCTTTGCTTTCTCCCCTCAAACAAACATTTGGCTCATACTGTGAACCTTAACTAAATAAACACAGTTGTATTTGTAAGGAGTTTTTAAGTCCACAGGGGAAAGGTGTTACTTCAGCCCAGGAGAATGGCATATAAGAAACTTAGCTGTTGTACTTGAACACTGCAACTATGCAGGAGTTCTCCTTGAATTTATCTTAAAAAGTCTTAAGATCTTTTGCCTGCTTAAGATCTGTTGCATACTTCATTTTGTAGTCAGGGTGTAAATTACTTAACTTATTCATCAGTGATTAGTGTATTAACTGGGTAGGTGGTAAATTGCTCAAGTACTAACTTTCTTCCACTCCATGGAAACCAAATGCAGTGCTACTTTCAATGAGGCATGATCTGAACTTCGATAGCTACACAGGTGGTGGCTGCCCTATTTCTGCTACGTTACAAGCAGAGTGACAGACTTTCTTGCCTGATATGTTACCCATGCATGAGAAGCACATAAACTGTGCTTTTTTACAACTTTTTTTCTTTCTTAAATTAGGTAAACATTGTCATAAACCCATCCCAAAATATTCTCAATTGCAACAAACAGCCAGGGTCCCTTCTCAGCATACAGTAATTTCAGCGTAATTTTATAGTCCAGTCCATGAAATAATCAGAGCTCTGCCCTTGAAATTCAATTTGACTAATTAACCCAAATTCTCAAGACTTCCATGAACTCTGTGAGCATCTATGTCTTCCAACACTGCAGTTCCTGCTTTGTGATGTTGGCCAGAAATTGCCCATTTGTTTTGCTAAATAGGTGTTATTTTTTGGTTTAGTAGCTTTCTGAGGAAATCTAAGATGTCTCCACATATTTTGCAGATAAATGTTTAACATTACCTGAAGGGGTATAAAAGCTGTATTTCCTAACACTATTCCTAGAGAAATATGGTGAGACTGATCCCTCATGATTACGGGTAGTGATGGTAGACGGGGAAAACAAACGTGCAGACAAAACAATATTAAGAAAGCACCAGGATATCACAGCACTGAACTCTGTAATGTTTAGACACCTTTGCAAACAGCAATTTGAGAAAGGAAAGAACCTTACAAGATGATTCATAATAACTAGCATGCTGAGCCAAGAGCTATAATGCTAAAACACAGAAAAACAGCTAATCTAAACTAGCAGAGAAAAGAAACTTCCCTCAAGTTGTGTTTAAATCTCATAGATAAATTAAACTTATGTTCCATTTATTTTTTTCCAAGATGTGTCTGGGTTTAGGACCTTCAAGCAAGAGGTGGAACCCATAACTTCCCAACACCATCTATGAAATGAGGTTTTTAACCATGGAGTCGGTGAGCCTTCTCTCCTTCTCTCTCCCTGTCACTCTCCCCTCTTTTCTTTTTCTTCTTGCTGTGGTACAAGATCTATTTTAGTATGTTTCCCCATAGTGAAATTGCTTTAAAAGTAGTTCAAATAGTTGTTAAAACAGGATTTACTGTAGACTTTGACTGTCCCAGGCCACACAGAGCCAATTGCTTCCTAGTTAGGGCAAATCATAGGAAAAAAGGCTTCAAGTTATTTCAGACAGAGTGCAACTGAAGCCCAGTTCCTCTGGGTCTGAAATTTATGCTCGAACCACTGACCCCTCTGTATGAAAGGAATGCATTGAAACACATTGTCTTACAAAAATGGCAAGTGTGACTGAAATTTCCGTAAGTGTCCTCACAGTGTGCCTGCTGGATAGAGTTCTTTCAAGTTTCCTGATAATGTTGCATCTAAATTATAGGTCCAAGCCAGCCCAAAGCTATACAAACTTGTCTAGCGTTGTTAAAACTGGGGAATTCTGGGACAGACATAAAGCAAGACTTTAGGTATGTGGTGAACCCTTGTGCTGAAAACCAAGTCACTTCCATAGTTCAAGTACTTCCAGAATAGTAAGTCATTTGAGTTGAGCTTTAAGGATGGTAAAGCTGACTTACAGTGATCAACTTCCACCCAACTCCCACCTGGGGAACAGCAGTGATTTCTGAAGTTATACATCAATTCACAACTGCAGGAAGAAAATAACCCAAAAGTACTGTCTTTCCCATACATGCATTATTTTAGCTCTGCTTCTTCTATGCAAATAAAAACCAAAGCCACATTTCTCAGCATTATATCCTGGTGTATAATATCCTTCCCTTTCAAAATCATGTGTGAAAGAAAAAGGCCACTTGCAGAACGTGCTGAGAATCTGTATCAATTTTGCAGTTAATGCTTTTATCCAGACATGACTGAACTTCATGCCCTCCCCAAGCTCTTCCCATCTGCTCAGTAAAACATAGGGTAAGAAAACATGTCACTGTAGTAAATTGATCTTGAACTTTCCTGCCTCACATTCATGTCTTCCAAAAAATCCTTAAAGCTGTAACTAGAACGCTGATGTACTCAGCTAAGAAATAACATTGAGTTAGGCAGCCATAATCTGCCGTTTTCTTTCTAGTGTGAAACTGGAGTAATTTTGCTGAAGGTAAAGGTATAAGTCCTGATTTATTTGGCCAAGAGCATTTCTAATTTATGGCCTTAGTATATTGGCTCAGGCTCTCTTTGGACTTAAGTGAATAAGTAACCTATAATATTCTCCAAACGAACGCAATTGGGGCAATTTAAGTGCTGCACTTCACCTCTGAATATACAAGTTTATTGTGCATGAGGGATCTTTTATGTTATTAAGATTGCTGAAAATATAAAAGGAACTAAATATACCTACACTAAAATTACCTCCAGAAGCACATTTAAATAAGACTTACACAACACAGTTAGAGGGAAAGGCAAATACAGACAATGTCTGCTCTGATTTACTGTAAATCTCTCCCTGGGTGATTTTGATGACTCAAGAGCAGAGAAGCTTAGAAAAATATATATGACAGAGTCAGATGCTGTTAACTATAAATACAAACAATAAATATCGTATCCCCCACTATGAAAGAAATAATAGTGCCTTGAGCACTGAAAGAATAACAACAGCACCATAGGAATATTATATGTCATTAGCACTTACAATTAACAATCAAAAGGAAAAAAAAAATGCCCTAAGTCCCTTTTTTTAATAGACTTTATATTTATGAACAACAAAATTAACAGGCATAGCCTAATTCAAATACTACTGTAAATATTATTTATTTATCAGGAAAGTAACTGAAATATTTTAACACAACAAAAATTTCAACAATGCCATCTATTACTCTAAAAAAGCAGTAAGTCTTTAGCTCCTGTAATTGTCTCAGTGTAATACAATAGATCTATGCGTATTTGAAAAAAAAGAACCAGGCAAACAGTCCTATTTCTGTATTCTGCTCTCACTTCATATTTAAGCCAGCCCATTTCCAGATCCAGATCTAGATCTTAAAGCCCAATTATGTGATAAATATTAACACTGGCCCAAACTCTGACAAAATTTAACAGCTATTGAACCTGTCTGATCCAAATACATTTGATAAAAATTTTCACCAATCATTCTAAAAAAAGTTTATTCTATTTTTAAACTATTTGGACTTTTTATTCAAGTTCTTTTGGGCTTCCTTTACCTATTCTGGATAAGCTGAAGCTTTCAGTAGGATCAAAAAGACTTTTTCCATAGATGAAGTTAGTGTCCTTTAAATACCACAAAAACAACATTTAGGTAAAAATACAGTTTAAAATGTATTGAAGTGTTCTTCACCTAATATCTGAGAGTTAATACTTTTAAAGAAAAAAGTGAGTTGTGTTCACATAGGCAGTGAGTTAGGCTGAGGTTCAGAAGACCTTTGCTTTGCCTTTCCTTTTCCTTGCCTTGGTACCACTCGTCTGGTGATGATGTTGGGAACATTACTTGGGCCATACACTCAGTAGAAAATTAAAACTGCCCAGGATCATTTTCTGCCAAGGTAGCCAAGTATAATAAACCATATCTTTAGCATTTGATTCTTTTAAATGTCAAAACATGCAAGATCTCCTGACTAATGGATCAAAGCCTGTGGTGACTCCTGAACTGCGAATGAGATAGTTTTGATAAACCTGCCTATCCTTTGCTGTAGAAGATTAAGGTTTAGTATTATCCTGGAGCCTTATTTAGTTTTTCTGTACAGATGTAGCTTTTACCTCTTTCTTCTACAGTTTCCCCATCTGTAAGGAGGGGAACACAATGCCTGCTTCCCCTATGCCACAGATCACAATCTCTAAAGGAAAGTGTTTGCTGCCTTCCTTAATAAAGAAATTGAACTGTTAGAAGGTATAAC